TCAGTTTTCAAGTCCCAGGTAAGATCAGATGCTTTTGAGTCCTGCTGTGGGGATGGAGGCAGGCAGACAAAGAGGGTAGATGGCAATGTCTGGTCCATAGGCCTCCACCCTGATGCAGTTCCTCTGCTCTGGGGCCTGCTGTGACGAGGCTACCTTTAAACCCTGTGCACAGCAGGCTGCTCCTGCCTGGCTCTGAGCATCTGTGTCTTTTTTTCTAGGAGAGGATTGCATCTCTCTTTTTATGTGCTACTCTCGGTGAGGCCCCCAACAGCAGTGATGCAGTCATCTCATTGATGTCAGCTTTCTCCAGGAGAAGCTGAGCCAAATGGAATCCACCAAGCCTAGCCACAGCCGGAACTCTTCCTCCCTTACCTTGCCCAGCCTCAAAAATATAGATTCTGGATCCCCCAGACTGACTCCTTCCTCCCTCTCTCCTCCTCCTCCTTCTCTCTCTCTCTGTAAATATAAATATATGTATGTATAGATATACTACATCCATATATATATGTATGTATAGATATACTACATCCATATAGTTTATCTATGCTATATAGATATACTAGAGTGCAGTGGTGTGATCTCAACTCACTGTAACCACCACCTCCTAGGCTCAAGCCATCCTCCCACCTCAGCCTCCTGAGTAGCTGGGACTACAGATAAGTGCCACCACACTGGGCTAATTTTTGTAGTTTTTGTAGAGACCAGGTTTCGCCCTGTTGCCCACGCTGGTCTCAAACTCCTGAACTCAGGCAATCTTCTTGCCTTGGCCTCCCAAAGCGCTGTGATTACAGGCATGAGCCGCCACACCCACCATACATATTTTGATTTTAGAGACTACGTCCCTCCCCAACTCCCACTCTCCCAGGTACCTTCGGATTCCTCCCTCAGCCTGATGTCCACTGTCCTCTCTCAGTGCATTGGAGCATCTGAAACCCAATTATGTAGAGAATTCCAGCTTCTTCCCACATTGTTTCTGGGTCTCATGTACATTCGAGCGTGTGACTGAACAACCAGTTTACTGTTCCTGACAATCAAGGAAGACTGCCTGGAATACACAGAAATACCTGATCATGGGAGACGAAGCCCAATTTCACTTGCTTCATTCTGTCCAAGTCAGTGTAACCTATTAAGCTGGCACAGTGGCTCTCAAGCTTTCCTGGTGATTAGAATCACCAGGAAAGCACATTTAAACGTGGGTTGTTGGACCTCACCATCAGTGTTTCTGATTCAGTAGGTTGGAACTCGGGGGAGGTGAGAGTGTACATTGCTAATGAATTCTTAGGTGATACTGACCCTGCTGGTTTGGGGACCATACTTGGATAACTGAAACCCCGAGTGACTTCACTGTGTTAGACTGGATTGGCTTAGCAGATTAAAATTACTGCTATTCATTATTTAGTTTCTGGTTGTTCAAGGCAAGTCCTGGTGGGAATGTCTTAGTTCAGGCTTCCATAACAAGTACCACTGACTGGGTGACTCCAAAACGACAGAAACTTCTTCCTCACAGTTCTGGAGACTGGAAGTCTGAGATCAGGGTGCCAGCATGCCCCTTTACTTTGAAATAAATCAGTATGCTTTTCCTAAGAACAAGGACATTCTCTTACATAACCAGTACAATGATCAAAGTCAAGAAACTTAACATCGATATAACACGATTATCTAAACCACAATCCCTATTCAGAGTTCATCCATTGTCTCAATGATGTCTTTTGTAAGTACTTATTATTCTGGTTCAGGATCTATCATCACTCACTGCATTTAGTCATTCTCTTTAGATTTATTTAATCTCAAATATTTCTTCAGACTTTTCTTTCCTTGACTGTCAACGATTATTTTGTACAATTTCCTCAGTTTGGTTTACTCTGATGTTTCCTTATGATTTGAGTCAAGTAATTCATTTTGGGCAGGAATTCCAGAGAATTGCTGCTTTTTTTTTTTCTTCAGAGTCTTGCTCTATCGCCAGGCTGGAGTGCAGTGGCATGATCTCGGCCCATTGCA